AGAGTAGTGTATGTAATTAGACTTTTTGGAAGTGTTTGTTTACAGTTGATTTCAGACAAAACTGTTTTTATATGCACAAAGCAGATGGTAATATTTGACACTATATCCTTACTGGAATATGTTAAAGCCTCGATTTAAACTTTTTAAACACTTATGTGAAATGCAGTCTTTGTCTTTTTCATTTAAAACGAGGGAGAGTAAAGCGCAGAATTTCTGGAATTGGAAACAGTGTTCAACTCTTCAATATGTTAAAACCCCTAAAGGGAGGGTTGTATATCTGTGGTGGCCCATGTGTTTTACATACTAAAGGAAAGATGGGATAAAAACATTTATGATTAATTCCTGAATATCCACATAGGGCTGGGAATGGCTCCTGAATAGATACAGTCAGTCGGTGTAGAAAATCTCATGCTTTACCAACTGAGCTATCTGAAGTCACAATTCATCGTGGTTTGGCTTAGCGTTACATAAAGCCAGGCCGTTGTGGCCCTAACTTAGTGCTCTACTACGTAGGGCTTAAAACTTAGTTATCCTAGCTTCTTTTGAGAGAAATTTTGCAACAGAAAAGCTTAGTAGTATCTCAGAGAAGATGCTTCTAATGTCTGGCAGTCTACTCGATGTCATGTATCCTTCTGCAGAGCACAGCTTGTGTGGAAATGTTTGAAATGAAATGTAAAAGGAGAATTAAGTATTTGCAGGAAAAATCTTCAACAAAGGCTTTATTCCCCCTTCCCCATTCAAACAGAATGTATGTATATAAACAGATTAGATCAGGTAAACAAACTTATGCCTAAGTATTCTGTAATGACTAGACGAGCAGTTGGAAAACACAGCAATTGTGTTTTGAGCAAAAGTATTTGAGCAAATACTTGTTTTTCCCATTATTTAAATCTTCTGATTCTTTGATAGCATGGAAGCAGATCTCTTTGTCTGTCTGCATAGTGAGTGTGCAGTGCAGAGAGATAGGAAGATGAGATGAAAAATGCTTGAAGTGAGGTCACTGACTGGTTAAGACCTTTATGATTTCACTGATACCTTGGATATGCTAAAATGTGCACTGGAAATGCCCTTAGATCTGTTGTGGATGTAAGGGTAACTGTAAGTTGAGCAGGTAATGTGTGTAAGTGGCCATTGCACATTTACTAGGCCTCATGGAGAATGTTATAATAATCTGTCCATAAAGAGGGACTGTGCACATTTCCTGGTCATGTGTAGTCTTCCAGCAGGCTTGGGGAATGCACATATCACATTTGTATTTTATATATAAAATTTATATCCCGCCCATCTGGCTGGGTTTGTCAACAGTATGCAATCCGCACCCAGTGGACTGCTTTTGACCCACTCCTAATCTTTTGTGGCTCACAACATACCACTTAAGCAGGGAGAAGAAGGATTAACCTTTTCTTCAGTCCATCTTCTTTTCAACTGTTCCTTATCACATGGATTGCGGAGGGAAGAGAATTTTAAACCTTTCTCCCTCTGCCTCCTCAAAAAACCTCCTCTCACCATCCTGATGAAAATTGTCACCCTCTGCTGTTATTAAACTTAGGAAAAAACTTAGTAGCAACATGTTCAATCATAATTGGGAAAATCAAAGTCGAACAAGAGAGGGAGTATAAAATATTCCTGGTCCCATCTGCTACCATTTCTGACCCTGCACATTGCTGACAGATTCCTTCCAAGAGAATTCAGCTTTTTTATGGGAAAAGGTTGTCCACTCCTAATCTCATTGATGTAGTCTTTTTCAAGGGGGAGGAACTCCACAACACCCTTCTCTGCATTTATGAAGGGATCAACTGCTAAGCAAACAGGTCTCTTAAATGCACTTACCGCAGCTGGTAATGATACAGTTTGCATTAATTATCTCTTGGCTCAGTAGAGACAAGGCTGTCAAGTAGCTAAACCTCAGGAGAAAATGGGTGATATCCAGTGATGTGTCTGCCTGCATGTGCAATGAAGATCCACTTGCACAGTGGGACTTATGATTTCTCTTCCCCCATCTGCATGCCTCCAAATTCTGCCCTAGAGGGTTCTTCAGTCATCTGGAGCATATTTGGGTTAGCGAGCCACACGAGGGGAACTGCAGGGTGCAAGGAGAAGCTTAATCTTGAGCTCCTTGTCCCTAGATACAAATGAATTTCTTGCAAATCCAGTACCTTTTTCATTCTTGGGCTTGGCAAAATGCACCATACCAGTTCTGTGTGCTCATTACCCACTGTCCCTGTCTCTGGCTATTTACCAATCTCGCCCAACTTTTTTTTTAAAAAAAAATGAGTGGGACCGGTGAACTAAAGAAGGAAGAAAAATCCTGAATGCTAATGCAACCTTTTTTTACTGCATCTTTTGGATTACGGCCATGTGTATCAAGAAGTCACAAGTGGGCCGACTATGACTAGCCTCACAGGGATGAGGGCAGAGGTTCCTGGTCTCTCTAACAGATGGCTCCATGACACTTCTGAAAGGTGAACCTTTTTCTAATTCAAATACAAGATGGCCTGCTGAGGAATTGGCTTGCTGCCTTATTGTTCAAGTATGTTTTGAGACTTGCTTCTATAGCTTTATTTTCTTGGCTTGTAGCTGTGGCTCTCTCGGCTATACATAGTTGACAGTGTGGATATGTGAACCTTATTCAGGTTCCTCCGCAATGCTGGCCAGCTAGCCTCTTTTTAAGAACGTTTGAATTACCAGAAACATCCAGCATTTGTAGTGAGCAGTTATGGCATAGCTTCCACTGTGTCATAAACTTCGATATTATCTACCTACCAAGACTACTGGTGTTTGGGATAGTCTCAGGAATGTGTTTTGCCTAAGAAGATATAATTGAATTAATCTGCTGCTTGCTAAAATGATGTTTAAAATTGCAAGTAATGCTTAAATGCTTCTTGAAATAGATGGAATAAGGTGTAATCAACCTAATGTGCTGAAATATTTCTATTAATATATCTTGTGCTATAGTAGGAGTAGACAACTTGATTTTCTAATTGGGCTTTGAGGGAGAATTTAGAATGTGACATTGAAGATAACTCCCTCTTTTATATGAAATGGCATTATACAAAACTGTATTAAAAATATGTTTCTCTCCAAGTTGCCAGGTGTTAGAAGAGGGTGTGATCAAAGAGATTTTGTGTTGGACTGGGAGTTGGAAGACCAGGGTTCAAATCACCACTCAGCCATGAAGGTCCATTGGGTGTGCTGGGGCCAGTCACTGTCTCTCAGCCTAGCTTACTTCACAGGGTGGTTGTGAGGGTAAAATGGAGAAGGGGGGCAGTGTTTTAGCAGTGGCAGCACAATAAGTACATATGACACAATGGCTTTCTGGCATGTTACACTGATCCTGGTCTGACTGCATTGGCTACCAATCCATGCCCAATTCAAAGTGTTGGTTTTGACTTATAAAGCCTTAAACGGCCCAGGACTGCAATACCTCAAGGACTTCCTCTTTCCATATGAACCTACCCTGAGATCATCTTCTGAGGCCCTTCTTTATGTACCTCCTCCTCGAGAGAGGATGGCAACACAAGAACAGGCCTTCCCTGCAGTGGCTTCCCGTCTGTGGAATGCTCTCTCCAGGGAAGTTCGCCTGGTGCCTTCATTACACACCTTTAGGTGTGAGGCAGAAACGTTCCTTTTTAACCAGACCTTTGGTTGATCTGATGGACATCCTATGCCCTTTTAAAAAGGTGGCTCTTTTTTGGGTGTGTGTTATTGGGTTGTAGTTTTTATTTTGATTATATCTGTTGTGGTTTTTATGTTGATATTTTCTGTGAACCACCCTGAGACCTCCGGGTATACAGCGGTATATAAATTCAATAAATAAAATTATAAAATAAATAAAGATGATTGCACTACCCCGATACTGGAGAGATGCCTTTCATTTGAATCTGCCATGGTTGGCAATTTTATTCTGCCTCTTTATTCTGCCTGTTCCATGTACTAGATTATATAGGTGGTGTTTTATAACATTTAAAAAAATATATAAAAATAAGATGTAAGAAAGCTCAAATGACACCACAGCTGGCTTTTCAAGACAATCCACTTCACCTTGCTTCATGATAGGGTGCCTTTTATAAGTGCCACACAAGCTAAGAAATTATCAGTTCCATTCCAGATTGTATAGTCTTCACTGGTCAGTTGTCAGCAAACAGAAGGAGACAGCATGGTTTCAGTAACAACCGTGAAATTCCATATATTTCTGTCTGAGTTGCAACACCTGTATGATCTATGCTTTATGAAGGCAGCTTTATCTTGTAGGTGACTTTAGTGGATGCAATGTGCCATATAATTCCAGTCCAGATTGCATATGTGCCAGTAAATTGCAGTATGTGTGTATTTATTTCCAAAGATAAAGGGATGTGACCAGCCCTGTGGCTTTGAAAGTAGCCCTGAAGTAGGTCTGGGAGAACCTGCCAATCTTGAAATGTTTTTTAACTACTACTACGGCTCCCTGACTATTGGCTATGCTGCCTAGGGTTGATGGGAGTTGTAGTTCCACAGTGTCTGTAGGATGGCCACATCCTTCCTTATTGCTGCAAAGTTTCCAAAGTGCAGTGCAACTGTATTGTGGTAAAGGTTTTTCTTCCTCTGCTTGGGTGCTGTAAGATCAAACTGTTAATTTTGTTACAGATCTACTGAAGATCCTTCTTTTTGTTCTTTAGGATTATGTGACACAAGATCCATGCCCCCCCCCCCCATTCAGTGATGATGTTTAGAGCCCAAAGTTGTGGTCAACTGTTCTTATGCTTCATGCACAGTGCCTTGTATGACATATACCATATTTTCCTGTCTATAAGACTAGGTTTTTCCCCTAAAAATAATGTCAAAAATTAGGGGGTGTCTTATACATGGGGGCATCTTATAGACAGAAAAACACGGTAACTTGTTAATGTTGTATAGCTTGATATATAACTTGGTATTTTTCTATTCAAGTGACCTTAATTTCAATGCTTTTTGGTGCCGGTTTCTAACTGAAGTTTGCTCTTTCTTTTTTGTTGGGAGAGTAGAAGAATTACGGAAGTTGAGCTGGTCAGGAATCCCGAAAGCAGTTCGGCCAATTACATGGAAGCTCCTTTCAGTAAGTACTTCAGTATTTTGTGATGATAGTGTTATTTCTCTCACCACATATAATTTTGCTTGAGTCATAGCTAATCAGTAGCGCTCCAAAACAGTGTGACAAAAAGGACGTTGTTCTGTTCTCAATTTCAAGCTTGGTTTGTCATAGGAGAATAGAGTAGTAAATCATGACAAGTGCTGTATTTTTCTTTGTTGCCCTCCCCCCCCCCAGCTCCTAAATGCCTTGTAGTGTTAAATAAAAAATTAGTTTCAAACAATAAAGTTAAGTATATTCCAACTATGTGCATATGTGTTTCTTACAGTATTGGTGTAAATTAGAAAATGGTGTTTATTGATACTGGTGTTAAGTAGAATTGTTTCCTTGCTTAGTGGCAAAATGTTTTGAGGAAGGTGTATATATCTAAGGTATCTTGCACCCAAGTGAACATGAATTCTGCTTCATCAGCGAATATTCATGTTGGCTTTTTAACATTCCAAGTTACACATCCCGCAGTTTAGCACTGTTGAATTTTTTAGAGAAGACTTAAAACAGCGTTCTTTTTTACCCCCCCCCTTGTTTTAAGGAAGATCAATCTGTGGGGAATGTGAAGTGTTCACTTCAGAAGAGGTCTGATTTCCAGTGTTTAAAAAGATTCTTTCTTGCTAATGAGTCTCGATAAATTTCTAGGCTTAGTGCTTTCTAATCCAAAATTCAGATGCAGCTCTTAACAGTGAATATTTAATAAGTAGTCTCTTGCAATTAAAATTAAGTACACAGAATGCAGTAGCTGTTTTTCCCCCTTCTCCTGGTAAAGTATACATTTAAAATGCTGACTCTTCATCCTTAAGTTCAAGCCGAGTTAGGCCATCTATTTACCCTATGATGCTGGCTTGATAGAAGAATGGGAAAAGCTATAAGCCATCTTGGCTGCAAGGTTATTACTTTGATTAGATTGGGATTTTTTTTAAAGAAGCAAGGCAGAAATTGTATAACGTTCCACACTCCTTTGTCCCTGCTTCCTTGAATCCATGTTTCCCACCCAAAGTCAATGTCCCTAAGATGGTTTTCTTATTGAGCACTTCTCTACCATTTGAAATGATGGTGTTCTATCCCCTAGTCTCTGAATATTTGACATGGTAGTGATCTTATGTAGTGGAAGTAATGCTTTATTTCATGTTGTACTGAGATGTTTGTAACCTGGGACTGCATGGTGAAGGGAGAGCTTTAAATATAAGTCAGTAAGTGGTTTTTTTTAAAGAATCTGCAGTAAAAAGAAAACATATTAGAATTAGAAAAAAGAACAAAGGTTCTCTGAATAGCCATTAGTTTGACATAAACATCCCCATTTTATCTGAATGTCTTCTAACTTGTCCACATGCACAGATGAGCCCTTGAAGTATAATTTTAAACAAGGCTGTAAGATCTCCTAAAGCCAGAAAGAGAGGTAAATGATTTGAACTAGTGGCTAATGTGTGCTTTCTTAGCTGCAAAAATAAAACATGCCTTGTGAGGGAACAGGATATTGAACTTGTCTAAAAGAGAGGGTGTGTTGATTAATCTTTGAAACTGATTAGCAGCAAATGTCTCTGTTCTAAGGAAAATATTGGTATATTTAGTCATAAATTAAATTGCTTTCTAATGGGACAAATAATGTATTCTGAAGAGTACAGACTCCTGAAAAAGAAATGCAGTCTTGACATCTTAATATCCTAGCTCACTACTTTGCATAAGGTTAAATATTGAATTCTAGAGATTGCATCTGGAGCTGATACAATATCTGGGAAACTTTCTCTTTCTCCAGCTTATTGTTTCAACAGAAATGTTTAGCTGGTGTCAGGCTGGTCCAAGACATTTTGTAGCCTGAAGTAAACAAAAGGATGGTGCCACCTATTCAAATTCAAAAGTTGTTTGGACTAGCTGTTGGATCTGTTGTCAATAATGCCATGGAAATAGTGTTCTGTGCTACACTTGAGGGTAATAGGCTAGCTAGGGATCAGAGATCAAGGGTGTGTTTCACACAGCTATTTTCCGAAACCTCACTGCCACTTCCTGCCCCGAACATCTGGTTCTTGAGGCTGCTGCCTAATGGCTGGCCCTGATTGGTGCTGAAAATGAAATGCCCGTAGAAACATTCCAATAATGGGAACTTTTATTCATATCCTTGGCACCAGTGTAACGGATAAAATGTTGGATCTCTGTGAGAGAGACATGAGTCCAGAGCCCAGATGAACCATGAAGCTCGCTGGCCGCCTTTGGATGAGTCACTGACCAAGTTCAGACATAGTGATCTTTTTAATTATGACTTTCCCCCCCTGCACACTTGCTCTTTCCTTTGGTTGTGCGCCATAATGCAAATCTTCCAGGTTTTGTTAAACCACAGCCACCCATCGCATTTGGATAGTAAAAAGGTAAAGGTAAAGGTACCCCTGCCCGTACGGGCCAGTCTTGACAGACTCTAGGGTTGTGCGCCCATCTCACTCAAGAGGCCGGGGGCCAGCGCTGTCCGGAGACACTTCCGGGTCACGTGGCCAGTGTGACATCGCTGCTCTGGCGAGCCAGAGCCGCACACGGAAACGCCGTTTACCTTCCCGCTAGTAAGCGGTCCCTATTTATCTACTTGCACCCGGGAGTGCTTTCGAACTGCTAGGTTGGCAGGCACTGGGACCGAACAACGGGAGCGCACCCCGCCGTGGGGATTCGAACCGCCGACCTTTCGATCGGCAAGCCCTAGGCGCTGAGGCTTTTACCCACAGCGCCACCCGCGTCCCATATATTTGGATAGTAACACTGATATAATCTCTACTTACAAACCAGCATATGAAATTGATATGAAATCAGTTTCCCGATTTGGTTGTAACAAACCCTGAAAGATTCCCCTTACGACAGATGAGAATCCCCTTAAAATCCTTGTTCGAATAAGCCTTGGTTTATTAGACCAAGTTGGTTACATTTGAAATTAGCCATTGTCGCCAGGCCTGCTACACCTGTGGATTCTTCCTTTTTAGGTCTGGGGTGTGACCTCTTCCTTTTCTCAGATTGACATTATATGGGTGGCTTATGAAAGATAAAATGGGGCCATTAAGTGCTTACCTGGATAATAAGTCTTTCTTTTTTTCTTTGACTTTGACTTCAGATGAAAGATTTGAGAAAGTGGTAGCTAACTGCTTCACGTTCATATGCAGGACTTTCCTATGAGTCCATTCCTTGGCTGTATTTATGTGAAAGACTTAATAGAACAGGAAACACAGGAATCCAGTAAATTGAAGAAATGGCTATCCTTTGATTTAGCTTTTAAGATAAGCAGTTTTTAACATTGATAGCTTCCTGTTCCCAGACTTTTTATAACTTGTGTGCAATGTTTATAAACTAGTTGAGTTCTCATGCTATCATAGTCTGTAACACTTTATACAAATAGCTTTGCAGAAACACTTCCTGCATTGTATACACCAAGCACATAGGCTTGATTACTTAAATCCAGATGAGTTTATTGATTTGCATCAAAGCTTTTTATTACTTGTTGAATTGTTTTGTACACTACACTTCCCCTACTTCATAGACTGTAGCCTTGTTCTTTTGAAGGTTGTAAAAGTTCTTCAATAGATCCCTGAATCATTTCACTTAATAGTATTGGTACTTTGCCATGCATACACAAATACTTGCTTAATTTACATTAAGTTTCTTTTATCTTGTCTCCTGGGGTGTGCTATATCAATCTTGTCCAAACTTTGTCAGAAATGCTCTGGTGTGCAACATATGGTTTGATTGCTCTGAAGCTTTTCATTTTTCATCAACAGCTATTTCTCACTTTCATTTTGTTTTCAAAATGTTTTAAGCACTCAGTCCGAAATCCAAAATGTTTAATCTACTGAGTAATAGGACTGCAGGGGAAAAAATCCTGTTCTACAAAGACAAATACATTCCCTTTTAAAAATACTGTTGATTCCCGTTGGGATGTGATTGGAGAAAGCATTTTCTGGTTGCAAGCCAGAACTGTTGGTCACAATTTTTTAGCTCCCTTCCCACCAACTGACCCATCCCCCTAGCTGGCATTTTCCTTTTATGGGAAGAGATGCATACATTTTTAAGAATGCTCTTTGCGTGTCTCCAAAGTGTTGGGGACAGACTAAATTTGCTTTGGAGAAGCACCACTTCTTGATTCTGACCAAGTCTGAAGTGGCCCACTTCACTTTGGGCTGTGAAGCAAATATGCACACAATGACCTAGTATAATCCCTCAGTGCGACTAAGAATATGTCGCCATAGCTAGTTTGCTCAAGCTTCCCTACTTATGGTTTGGGTTACACATTCTTTTTGTTAGGCTATATATGGTCTCTGTTGTAGCTTGTTATATGAAGTGGAGAAACTATTTACAGGCATCTTAGACTGGGAACTTTTTGGAGCTATCACCTCTTAGAGTAGGCAATACAGTGGTACCTTGGGTTAAGTACTTAATTCGTTCCAGAGGTCTCTTCTTAACCTGAAACTGTTCTTAACCTGAAGCACCACTTTAGCTTATGGGGCCTCCTGCTGTCGCCACACCGCCAGAGCACAATTTCTGTTCTCATCCTGAAGCAAGGTTCTTAATCCGAGGTACTATTTCTGGGTTAGCGGAGTCTGTAACCTGAAGCGTCTGTAACCCGAGGTATCACTGTATTGGGTTAGATCAGGGTTTCTTAAACTTGGGTCTCCAACTGTTTTTGGACTACAATTCCCATCCCTGACCACTGGCCCAGCTAGCCAGGGATGATGGGAGTTGTAATCCAACAACAGCTGGAGACCCAAGTTTGGGAAACCCTGGTCTCGATAAACCAGTGGAATGACTTGGAATAATACACCACATAAATAGAAGAGAAATGCAATGCTATATTGAAGTGAATGCTTTCTTTAGAAGAGGAACAAAATGGATGGGGGAAAGTGAATTAAATTCCATTTACAATTGCACTGGAGAACCTGTGTTTTGCATTGAATGCACAGGTCCACTTTGAATGTACATCCCTGGTTCATAAATTATGGATTGTGAACCCCCAAAAGAGTTGGGGGGGAGGGTCAAGTGATCTGTGCAAGTGGAAGAGGTTCTGGTTTGTTTTAAGTCAGAGGTCCCCAGTTAGGTGAGATGAGTGCAAGATGAGAGAAGTAGCCATGGTTTGTGAAACTGTTAATTTGCATCAGAAATGGGCCATAGAACAATTTTCAAGGGAGGGAGAGTTTTTAATTAACAATTGGTAAGCAATTTTTCTACAATTTAAAATGTGTGTCACTTTCTAGGGTTACCTCCCTGCAAATATAGAACGGAGAGAAGGCACTTTACAAAGGAAACGGAAAGAGTATTTTGCTTTTGTGGAACAATATTATGATTCAAGAAATGAAGAAACTCACCAGGAGACATACAGACAGGTGAAGGAACTGGAAAATGTCTCCAATTAAAGGAAATTTCACATGCATTCCAATGCCTTTTTCAATATTACATCACATTATTTCTGAGAGTGCCCCTGGCTTTTATTGAGCTTCTCATTCACCCTTCCAGACACACAAACAGCAATGGGACCAGGCTGTCCAGCTTTTCCTTTCTGTGGCTATCATTTTCTTTCTCAATTTATAGTTAACATTGGATACAGATATGGCCTTTGCATGCTTAGCGCACTGGTTTCCAAATCTTCTGTCTTCATGGAATACCGTATTTTTCGCCCTATAGGACGCACCAGCCCATAGGACGCACCTAGGTTTTTTTTTTGGGGGGGGAATAAAGAAAAAAAAGTATTCCCCCCCCAGCCGCGGCTTCAGCGCGCCCCGCGCTCCGGGCAGCAGGCTGCTATCCACAGCCTAGGGAGCCCTGCGGGAACTGCGGGGTATCTGCCCGAAGCGCGGGGTGCTCTGCTTCAGTATGCTCCAGGCAGCAGGCTGCTATCCGCAGCCTAGGGAGCCCTGTGGGAACTCCCGTGGGCTCCCCAGGCTTGCTGATAGCTTCCTGAAGCCTGGAGAGTGAGAGGGGTTGGTACGCACCGACCCCTGTCGCTCTCCAAGCTTCAGCGAAAGCCTCCATTCGCCCCATAGGACGCACACACATTTCCCCTTCATTTTTGGAGGGGAAAAAGTGCGTCCTATAGGGCGAAAAATATGGTACTTTGCACATTGACTTTGGGAACCCCTGGGCAGTTGCCAGTGTGAATCGTGTGCATTTAAAATACTGGTGCAGCCTTTCGTAGAGGTCAGTTTGCACGGAGCACTCACTGGCTAAGGCAGCTGGGCTTCTCCATTGCCACACCTGAACAGAGTCTGCATCTTGGAATGCACCTGACATTCTCCTGCATCTGAACCTTGTTTAGAAAGTGTAGTGAGGAAACTGTCTTTCAGGGAAGTCTGTTGGCCATTATTGGTCCTCTCCCTGTGAAATCCCTGATAGGCGTCCAAGATATTCTAAGATTCCTAGGAACATAGTTTAAAAACCATGAAAACAATGGAAGTGAAGGGATAATCCAGACCTTCAGGAAGCCTTTCTTGAGGGGCTAATAGAAGGGACACTGGAGAGCTAATGCATCTTGTAAAATATTACAAAATCGATCCTGTTAGCCAGATGTTGCCCTGTAGACTTGATCTGCCATTTACGTTGTGGGTATGTCTTTAATATTTGTGTTGTGCTTTGTCTGCATTTTGAAGGAGTTTGTGCAGTACAAAAGGGAAATGTTAACCTACGTACTCCCCATATTCAGAATTACCATTGATTTTTTCCCCTTTATGTGTTAATTCACTGTCTATCAAATGCTCAAATTACTGAGACCTGTGTAATGCATATGCACTTTAAATACTTTTTAAAGGCTTATAGGGAAGGCCTGTAAAGAATAAGGAAAATTGAAAACCTGCGTTACTTCACTAGCTTTTTTTTTTTTTAATAAGCAAGTTCAACAGTAACATTATAAACTTAGTCATCATTTGAAGGTTTCTGAAAATTAAAAGATTTCTTTTTCAGATTCATATAGATATTCCTCGTATGAGTCCGGAAGCTTTAATTCTTCAACCCAAAGCAACAGAGGCAAGTAATACTGCGAGATAATAAATCCAACTGTCCCAACTGTGTGATTTGCTTGTTTGTGTATTGTCGGAGTACACATGTCACTTTCTCTGGAGATGCCATACTGAAAAGTTCTTGTTCTTCTTGGCAAGCCATCTTACACCCATACAAGACAGCCATTTCTGCATTCTTGGGGAAATTCCCTGGGATATATATATATATTTTAATGCCCTCATCAAGGGGTGAGCATGCTTATTGTCCTTCAGGAGCCCTAATGTTGACAACTGAAGTTCAGTTGGGGCAAGCAGGGGGAGGCAAATGAGGCAGAAGATGAAAACTGCTGGACTCAAGCCACAGTTCATAGCCTACTAGAAAGAGGGATACACTCTCCTAAGGCTTGGAATACCCACATCTAATTTTTCCCTCAATTTGTGATGCTGCAAACCTTTAGGGGCTTTGACCCTTTTGGTGTGGAAATAATTGGGGGGGCATTTATTACAATAAGAGTAAACATGCCTGTCAGGGGTTCAGGAGCAGAGGTGAGGGCAAGGGAGGAAACAGAGAGCGAGGGGGAGGAGTCCGAAGAAAGGATGAGTGATGACGACGACCCGAGATCTCCGAGTCTTTCCAGTGAATCGGAAGATTCACAGAAAGGAGCGCCAGTGGCCAGAGCAAAGGGGGGGGCCTAGGGGGACACCCCAGGAGGAAAGGACCAGCGGGGGTTCAGAGGGCAGCAGTTGGAAATCGGGGCCAGCGTCCCCACCAGAGCGCAGTGGAGAGGAAGGACGTCAGGGATCGAGCCCTGGCAGCTCGCAGCAGGGAGGAGGGCATGAGTCAGGAGTGACCACACCCCCATCAGGGAGCGAAGAAACGGTCAAGCGGAAAGTGGAAGGTTGGGCGCGCGCGCCAAGTTCAAATGCACAGGAAGGCGGCGCAGTAAGCAGCCCGGAAAGGGAGCCAGGTCCTAAAGCCCGACGCAAGGAGACAGGAGGGTCCGGGGGGTCAGCGTCAGAGGAGTCCCGGAGGGAGGAGACCACGGGGGGCAAAGGGACCCAGAGAAGGACGGTCAGGCGGAAAAGGTGGAGTAAGGCGAGGATATTAAGTTGGTGTACGAGGGGCGGAGACTCAGACGGAGCTTCGCCGGTCTAGCCATAAGACGTAGAGTTGCACGCAGCAGCTTGGAAATGGAAACTGTAAATCAATAAAGACTTTTATAAAGCGAACACTGGCTAGCGTGATCCTCTGTGAGCTAGGATCGAGGAGCAGCTCTGACAGCCCTTAAAATTATAAATAATCACTCAACCCATGAACTCTCTTACCTGTCTTGGAAGGGCAATAAAATTAAGTTGGGGAGGCATATTTTCCATGAGGCATCCATCAGTTTAGTTGGCTGCTTATCTAATTCTGCATAGTGCCACTCAGATTTGGTGTTAGATGAACAGTTCCCACTCACCTAGCCATGGACTCCAGTAGACTGTGCTATAAAGCAATTGTACTATAGTGCTGAGGCTCAGGGTTAGTTGAGCAAGAAGCTAATCTTCCAGACCCAGATCTTGCCACTACTGGGGAGATAAGTTTCCCAGTTGCCTTTTTTACTGGCTCTCATTTTTTGCAAGTCACAGTCTACTTGATCTCACTTCTTTGACTTTACAGCAGCAAGAGTTACAAATGTCAACCATAAATAGAAGTGATGCTTCTGATGACTGGTGGTCTTATTCTATGATCTCCTGTATCATCATGACAATATAGCTTCCTAGATGCACCCCCTTCAGTGTAATGTATGTGTTGTTAAGGACATATATGTAGAGCAGAGGTATTTTTTGGAACTATGCATAACTCTCCATTGTAGAAAATCAGCTTTCTACAACATGGGAGGAGGTGAAAGAGTATCCAAAGTCCTAAAGGACTTGAGTAGCATTCTTGGCCCACTTCCAAATGGCAAACTGCTTTTGAAGCTGATAGGTGTTTCAAAATATGTTTGTTATGGTGTGAGAGGCTGCTTTAAAAGAGAAATAGTCCGAAAGGCTTCTGGGTGTGTGCAGGACCCTGAATGCATCTTAAGAAGCTCTTTGAATTTTGTCTATGAAATGTAGGAAGGAGAATAAACCTTACTTATTTAAAATGGTACATTTTCAACAATTAAAATTTTGTATAAACGCCTAATTTTTACATAGTGCTAGTAATCTTTAAATGTTTTCTTTGAGTAATCAAGAAACTAAATTAACATTTGCTGATTATATATGCTGATAATCACTTGCATTTCATTATGCCTACATTTTGTGCCTTCTGAGTTCATTGCTTTACAGCTCTTTACATTTCTTCCCCAGATCTTTGAAAGAATTTTGTTTATCTGGGCAATACGTCATCCAGCCAGTGGATATGTTCAGGGCATAAATGATCTGGTTACTCCATTTTTTGTTGTCTTCACATGTGAATATACTGGTAAGAAAAGTTACATTAGCATGTATATTATTGTAATCTGAAATTTTAAGAATGTCAGGGTATAGTATCTTTGTAGAGGTTTAGGGATTAAGTTATTAAAAATGTGCTTGTGTATGCAGAATTGCCTGTCAGTTAAATTTTTATTTGAAGTTGATTACTCTCTCTCTCTCTATGTATGTGTGTGTGTGTACACACACACACACACACACACACACATACGTGTGTGTGTGTGTGTGTGTGTGTGTGTATTGGGGGGGAGGTAATATTTGAAAGCCATGCATTTCAAGAATAGTTTTTGTGGATTCTTACAGCCATGGTCATACATACATAATTTCATTTGTATGGCACCCTTCGATAGTTAAAACCATGTTCAAGGTGGCTTAAAACACGAAGAAACATGCATAATTCCAAACCTAACAAAAGTTGTTGGCATCCATCTTTCTCAAGAGACAGTGGAGTGCCAGGGATGAAATCAAACGGCTGTGTTAGCAGCACTGGGTGCAAGCCTGGGCAGTGTGCATGGAGGTCCTGGGCTGTCTAGATGACAAGACCCTCCTCTCAGCCTCTCTGATGTGGTCCAAAGGAAAGCAGATCAATATGTTTGGCACCACCGCTGTTGCAGGAGTTGCCAGAAGGAGGCAAATAAATCATAACATTATAAAATAAAGATACTAAAATTAGTATCAATAGCAGCAACAACCTCCCCCTCCCAAATACTCCAGTCCAAGAGGCTGTTCAGCAGCCTCAGCTTTTGTAGTTGGAGTCAGTCAGGACCCTACCCTCCCACGCCAGGTGGAAAAAGGCCTGCAAGGCAGGGAGCAGGTCTTCCAGGACTCAGCCAAGATGGTCAATGTTCCATCCCCCTTCTCTCCCTCCATCCCTTCCCAGTTGGTTGTGCTTCGCACGCCTCATCAATATAATAAACTAGATTCATTTTGTTTTTAATAGAGGGCAGATTACCCTTGAAGAGTTGAATGGCTGTCCACTTATTTGACAGGAAGGCTTCTCTTCTGCCGTGCTTCAGTTCATAGGAAGTCCTTTCCCCCCCATACTGAGCAGCTAATGAGAATTGCTGTTGCTTGCTCCCCTAATAATCTATTAAGTAGAGTAGGGGGCTACTCTAGAGAGTGTTTACAGTTTCTGCCTCTTACTCCCTCATTTGACAGATAATGAAAATGTTCCTAATGAGCCTAGAACAGTAGGATCTGTGCTGGTATACTTTAGAGTTGTTAATTGAAATAAGTTTAAATGAGATGTGATTAGAGGATTGATATTCCATGTTAAATAGACCATTTAATTAATATAGTAAATACGTTTGTCTTAAGTACTTTACCATCAGTTTACATTTCAAGTATATTGACTGCGTTTTTTTCTGAAATTTGCTATCAACAGACCAGGGTCTGTCTAATGGCCATTTGTCGTAATTGGGGACAATGCCACTGAAAGTGGTTGCTGAACTACCATCGGCATTAAACTTATTGCTGTGTTTGACTGGTAGAAAAGTGTATATCAGGGCACAAGTGTATATAAGGTACCCCTGCCCGTATGGGCCAGTCTTGCCAGACTCTAGGGTTGTGCGCTCATCTCACTCTATAGGCCGGGAGCCAGCGCTGTCCGCAGACACTTCCGGGTCACGTGGCCAGCGTGACAAAGCTGCATCTGGCGAGCCAGTGCAGCACACGGAACGCCGTTTACCTTCCCGCTAGTAAGTGGTCCCTATTTATCTACTTGCACCCGGGGGTGCTTTCGAACTGCTAGGTTGGCAGGCGCTGGGACCGAGCAGCGGGAGCGCACCCCGCCGCGGGGATTCGAACCGCCGACCTTTCGATCAGCAAGCCCTAGGCGCTGAGGCTTTTACCCACAGCGCCACCCGCGTCCCTTGTTTGACGGGTAGAAAAGTGTATATCAGGCACAAGTGTATATACTGTAACTATAATCCCTGCTCCTAGAACATCTGCCCAGCTGTGGACCACTGGTGCTCTGAGTGCTCTGAGCACTTTTTTGGCAGCTCAAGTGTACATGTAAAGGGAGGAGACATTAACTCTGACCAGCAATACCTGAGCCAGTTCTGGGCACCTTTAAATAAAAAGGGTGGAAGTTTGATTGGTTCTCTAGTATTGGGTGGATGTACATGAAGTCTGCTTTTGAGAGGGAGATTGCTGGGCTACAGAACTCTGTTAAAATGCAGTCCTAGTTGGCAAGCTCAATCTGCTCAGGAGTATCTGTATTCTGTTGCCGTCATAAATCTTCAATGTCGAGGTGGTGCTGTTAAGGGAATCCCCAGAATAATGACAGTTTTAGCAATGCCTTCTCCTGTAGTCATGAGAAAACAGTATGCAAACAGTGGACTGTTGTGAAAAGCCAATCTTTAGCTTGATTTAAAAAATATTTATATAAAAATTGTAATAGCAGCTTATGAGGATCTGCAAGAGCCTCTTTGGGATAAAAGAGATTAACGTTTGAATGACTGAAACATTGCAGTAAGGAGATACATTCAGCCCATTCAGAAGAACAGCAAAATAGAGCGAGAAAGCTCAGCTAAGAACCAAACAGTCTGTTGTCACATTGACTGCATTCAAACAATAATTCAAACCTTCATGAACTGAACCGTGGACAGACACTGTGGTGTGTGCTTGTCCCTCACCCTTCTTATCATGTACCAGCTTCATCACAAAGATCCTAGCTTGCACTGATCCACAGCTCCCCATTGTGCATACAGGGGAATTTTGGCTTGATGGTGGTTACCAAATCAGGGAAATAAAACTGACATTAAACTAGAGTTTCACAGTTTGTATTCAGTGGCCTGGCTTGCATGTCACGGCAAGCCAAACTATGGCTTAGTGGGACCACCCTAATGTACTGGCTCCCAGAGAGGAACTCATACTTGCTTGTGGTGCTCCCTGGTCCTTTTTAGCACAACATGACAGCTAAGCCAGCTAAGCCAAGGTTTGACTTGGCGTATTGTCTGAACCTAGGATCTGTGGTTAAGGTGTCTTCTCCTATAACCACAAACTGTAACCGTAGGACACACCTTGCTACAGATTGCGATTAAGGAGGAGAAACCTGAATCAGGATCCCAGGTTGGGAGAACATGCAAAGGCTTTGCTGCTGCATTGTGCTATGAGAACTGGGGAGGAGGAAAGTAGGTGCGAGTTCCTCTGTTTGTGTAGCCTGGGTAAGCCAAAGTTTGGTTTACTGTGATGTGCAAACAAAACCAATGAGAAACGGAGTTTAAAGCAAGCCAGGATATTCACATGGAAGCCTAGAACCTGGGGAGGGACAAGGGAGGTGTGTGCAGCCACAGTTCTTCATAAACCATATAGTTTCATGAAGTATAACTTATTAAACTTAGCTCATCATGCAAATTAGGCCATAGTCCTGTTCTAATGAACTTTCAGATTCCCTCTCATTTAAATGGCAACTCCAGTGTTTGTTTCAGAACAGAGCCCATGAAGGCTCACTTGTTAACAATTACTCTGTTAATAATAATTAGAGTATCCTTGTGACAAGATAAGTAGATTTACATTGGCCCATTGGGATGTAGCAAGGCACTAATGCACAGAATTTGCCATAAGATGCGTTTCAGTGATATAGGCATTTTTTCACATATTCCAATTATGAATTGAAATTGGATGACATTCACGGGAAGAAAAGCTATCATAGTTACGATGTTGATACATTAGATTATTATGAAGCTGACCTTGTAACTATTTGCATTTAATTTGCATTTGATTGCATTCCATTTCATGTGTCAAGCTGACTGGTCTGCTAAACCCTTATAGAATTTTCCATAATTGTTTGACTTCATAATTTCTGAAACCAAGTGTTTAAGGTTTTTGTCTAGTTAAACAACATAAACCATCCTAAACTTAAATTTCATAGGTTTGGAAACTCTATTACATGTGATTTGGACATTGGACGCGAAAGGGTTTTAACATTTTTGAGAGCAAGATCGATGCAGCACAACTTGAAAACTCATGGATGTGATAAATTAGCTTTCATTGTTGAGAATCCTTAATTGTAGCATGTTATGTGTTATGTTGTGTCTTGCTACTTTATCTAGGGGTTGTACTATATTAAATTTAAGGATTCCTGTTAAGGAGATACAACTTTGGTCTGTAAGTCTATGATGGTACATGATCATGGGTGCAATGAGGGAGGAGAAAAAGGAGCATATTGTTTTTCTGCTGAGAAAAGCAGTTAACGTCTGTCTAGGTTTGCTGTGTCTTTATATTATTTAGCTTGCAGCATCCAGAAATCCGCTGTTCCACTGGATGATCTTTCAGGGCATCTAAACTTTAATGAGTGTATAAGTCTCATACATAGAGCAGGCAATGCGTCCACATTTTTAAAAATCCAACACATCTTCTGGCAAGACCCTGATTCCTGAGGGTACAGGGAATTGAGCCTTGGCAGTTGTTGCTCCCATCCAGTCCTTTAGAGCCAATCCTTTCCCAGTCAACTCAATGAGTTTTAATCAGCTTGTTTGGTCTTCTGTTGTAAGACTAAACTTTAAATTTCCTCTGAAATTTTGTATTTTGAAATATAGAACACAAAACTCGCAACATCAAATAACCCAACTCCCCGCCGCATGCAACCAGTCGCCGGCACTTCATTTTGTTGTTGATACTTATTTGTTTTGTGTTGTTTTAGTTGTTAACATTCTTATGAGATCATGGACCTCCTTGAGTCTCAGAGTCCAAAATCTACATACCTTCCAATATTTGCTGGTACTTTTCTGTTGGTATAATTAACTCTTGTTACTGATAGTAGCTTTTTCTGTAGGTGTCCTTATGCTAATAGTCTCAGTGATCAAGTAACAACCAGGATGGCTTCTTAATGGGACGCTTTAAAACCATGTTCATTTTCCCAGGGCAGTAATAGAAAAAGTAGACTCGTATCTCATTCTCTGTTACAACCCTATCTGCTAGCAAAGGGCTTAACCTATTTGCTAATGTTCCATTAGACGCCGAAGCCAATAGAGGACTGATGAGACTTCA